GCCTTTTCTGTGGAATATGATAGGGTCTGTATTTTCAGGTAAAGAAAATGCCAAAATTATTTGCTGAGAGCAAAAGCCAAAAAGAGTGTTCATGGCTTCACTGGAAAAGCTGGATCGTCACTCCCGGCCACCCAGAAATCCTCTCCATGTCTTTTCAGAACAATGTCCTAAGAACCATAGGGGAAGTGGCCATCAAAACCATCTTTCCCTTCCAGCTTGGGGCTGGGACTCTGGCCAATGTCATTCTGTCCTTCTGTCATGTCTCTCCCACCTTGACTGGCCACAGAACGAGGCCCACACACAGGATTCTCGCCCACGTGGCCGTGGCTAATTCCCTGGTTCTTCTCTCCACTGGGATTCCTCACACAGTGGTGTCTTTTGTTCTAGGGAATCCCCTGTCCGGTCTTGAGTGTAAACTCATGCATTACACCCACCTGGTGGCTCGCAGCTCCACCCTGTGCTGCACCTGTGTCCTGAGCACCTATTAGTACCTGTCACTCAGCCCTGGGAGCCCAGGGAGGGTGACGCTCAGAGGAAGAGCCCCCAAGGCCATCGGTCCTTTCTGTTGCACCTGCTGGATGTTCAGCGTCTTGTTGAATGTCTATATTCCTCTGAGAGTCACTGGTCCACAGGACGCAGACGATGATAATGACACCCAAGGCAAAGGGTTCTGCTCACGCTCGAATCACACCGCAGGCCTAATCTTCTTGCGGTCAGCACCCGACGCCGTGTTTATTGGCCTCATGGGCTGGGCCAGTGGCTCCATGATTCTTCTCCTGCAGAGACACAGCCAGAGACTGTGGCATCTTCACACCACCAACCGACGCCACAAACGGCCGCCTGAGACCAGAGCCACCCACACCGTCCTGATGCTGGTGGTCGCCTTTGTCACATTTTACATGCTGAACTCTCTTCTCACTTTTTACATGACTGCATTTTCGGATTATCGTCTAGGGTTGATGCAGGCCTCGGGTGTTTTGGGTTCATGTTTTCCCACTGTTTGCCCCTTACAACTTATCCTGAGGGATCCGAGAATGCCTGGATTCTACTCCCGAATCGTGGGAAATCATGGAGGCTAAAGCTAAATATGGAAGACAGCTTCCACAGTAGCCATAATTACTTTATTACTCTATTCAGGAATCATTTATTGAGTATCTTTTATTTTTTTTTGAGACACAGTCTTGCTCTGTCTCCAGGGTGGAGCACAGTGGCGTGATCTCAGCTCACCGCAACCTCCACCTCCTGGGTTCAAGCGATTCTCCTGACTCAGCCACCCGAATAGCTGGGATTACAGGCAGGCACCACCAGATCCAGCTAACTTTTTTGTATTGTTAGTAGAGATGGGGTTTCACTATGTTGCCCAGGGTGGTCTCAATCTCCTGACCTTGTGATCTACCCGCTTCAGCCTCCCAAAGTGCTGGGAATACAGGCATGAGCCACCGTGCCCGGTCGAGTATCTTTTTTTTTTTTTTCCATAAACCCCACAATGATCTTGGAAATTCATTGTGATATTTGTGCTACGTGGCAGACGGGACTCCTCTAACCTGCTGAATGTGTTACTTGATTAACTCCTTCAGCATAAATTCTTGTCTCGTCTTTCTTCCTTCAAAGTGCCCGCCTTTTGGGCTCTGCCAGAGGCTATGATTCACTGTAGTTAAAAATTGATTTATACAAAAAGAAATTTTTTTTTTTTTTGAGACAGAGTCTGCCTGTTGCCCAAGCTGGCGTGCAGTGGCCTGACCTTGGCCCACTGCGACCTCCGCCTTCCAAGTACAAGCCATTCTCCTGCCTCAACTTCCCAAGTAGCTGGGATTACAGGTACACAGCACCACGCCCAGCTACTTTTTGTATTTTTAGGAGAGATGGGATTTTGCCGTGTTGGTCAGGCTGGTCTCCAATCCCTGACCTTGTGATCCACCCATCTCAGCCTGCCAAAGCCCTGGGATGACAGGTATGAGCCACTGCATCCAGCCAGAAGACTCTTAAAGTAGGCAAGTGCCAGTGAGACGGGCCAGGAAAGCCTCATTACCATGGCCTCGCAGAAGGCAGCTGGGCCACTGTGTCCAAAGTTCCAACTAGAAAAAAATATCAGCCGTGCACGGTGGTGCGCGCCTGGAATCCCAGCACTTTGGGAGGCCTAGGTGGGTGGATCAAGAGGTGAGGGGTTCAGTACCAGCGTGGCCAGTATGGTGAAACCCCCTCTCTAGTAATAATACAAAAATTAGCCGGGCGTGGTGGCAGGCGCCTATAGTCTCAGCTACTCAGGAGGCTGAGGCAAGAGAATCGCTTGAACCCAGAAGGTGGAATTTGCAGTGAGCTGAGATTGTGCCACTGCACTCCAGCCTGGGTGACAGAGCAAGACTCCATCTCAAAAAAAACAAAAACAAACAAACAAACATATATATTATAATACCCAAAGTCAGTCCCGTGAGGGTTCTGGGTAACCTCATTGCTCTTCTCTTCCCCTTGATGGGAGAATTCCTAACCCAAGAAATGATCCTAAGTGCTTTCCCTGGTGAAGCATATTTGGGGAATTTCTCTGGAGGCCAATCTAACCCTGGAGGGTGTCCCTTTCCACAACTCTGGCCGTCTGGTGCTGCAGAAAGACCGCAAGCACTGTCACAAGAGGGCGGCTCACGCCTGAAATCCCAGCACTTCAGGAGACCACAGCGGGAGGACAGCTTGAGCCCAGGAGTTCGAGACCAGCCTGGACAACATAGCAAGACCCCTCTATCTGTATTAAAAATGTGTTAAAGTAGCTGTAGCTGGAGGGAGGAGAGGCGAGTCAAGGCGGGCTCCATGGGAAGCAGCGGTCACCTGCACAGAGGCAGCGCCTTCATCCAGGCACCTGAGCTCCTGGGACCCCCCTCAAGTCCTGTGCCCTGTGGGAGTGGCTGCTACCTGGGACTGCCCAGCCTCGTTGGTCCTGTCTGCACTGCTGCCTGACTTGCACCTCCAGCCACCTCTGTGATGAAGTCCAAGCCCAGCCAGGCGGGGCCTGTGACGCTGAGGGCATCACCAAGCCGGCGGGGGACTTGTGTTTCCAGGGAGCTGGCGCACTCACTGGGCATGTGCAGGGGTAGAAACCTGCAATCCCAGCAGTGTGGGAGGCAGTGGCGAAAAGATCGCTAGAGTCCAGGAGTTCAAGACCAGCCTGGGCAACATAGGGAGATTCCCCGTATCTACAAAAAACAAAATTTAAAAAATAGCTGGGCATGGTGGTGAGTGCCTGTGATCTCAACTACTGTGGAGGCTGAGTTGAGGATCACTTGGGCCAGGGAGGTCGAGGCTGCAGTGAGCCGTGATTGCACCACTGCACTCCAGCCTGGGTGACAGAGTAAGACCCTATATCAAAAGAAGAAAAGAAAAGAAAGAAAATAATGGCCGGGCACGGTGGCTCACGCCTCCAATTCTAGCACTTTGAGAGGCTAAGGTGGTGAATCACCTGAGGTCAGGAGTTCGAGACCAGCCTGGACAACATGGTGAAACCCCACCTCTACTAAAAATACAAAAATTAGCCGGGCATGATGGTGGGCACCTGTAATTCCAGCCACTCAGGAGGCCGAGGCATGAGAATCACTTGAACCCGGGAGGCAGAGGTTGCAGTGAGCCGAGATCGTGCCATTGCACTACAGCCTGGGTGACAAAGCTCAAAAATAAATCAATCAATAAAAAAAATAATAAACCTCTTTTCTTCATAAATTATCCAGTCTCAGGTATTTCTTTGGAGCAGTCCAAGAGTGGACTAACACACAGACTGTCTGAACTTGCTATGCAGGGTTTCCAAACAATTTATATGCTTTTCAGATGCTTCCAAATCTCCTTTAAAAAAAAGAAAAAAGAAAGAAAGAAAAAAAAGACTGAGCTCGGTGGCTCACACCTGTAATCCTAGCACTTTGGGAGGCCGAGGCAGGTGGATTATCTGAGTTCAGGAATTCGAGATCAGCCTGACCAAAATGGAGAAATGCCATCTCTACTAAAAATACAAAATTAGCTGGGCATGGTGGTGCGTGCCTGTAATCCCAGCTACTCGGAAGGCTGAGGAAAGAGAATTGCTTGAACCCTGGAGGCAGAGGTTGCAGTGAGCCGAGATCACACCGCTGCACTCCAGCCTGAGTGACAGAATGATATTCCATCTCAAAACAACAACAACAACAACAAAATATATATATATATATATGTACACACACACACACACACACACACACACACATTTATTCAGCACATAAAGACCCTAAAACCTACCCCAACTTGAGTAGGTATCCCCTCAGCTTTGGAGGCCTAGCAGATACAGCAACCAGATGCTGAGCAATGAGGCGCTGTAAATACAACATCACGGTTGGAAACATTATCAAAGGATTCCCAGTTCAACTCCCTCTTCTGAAAGAGGGTAAAAAGGAGAGGCTTTTTCTGAAGCCATACAAATCTGACATTTCTCCACAGCTGAGACAAGGCACCCTTAACCCCATGGAACACACACAGGTTTGTGAGCAGAGCTGGCGAAAAGAGAAGGACACACGAAAACGAAGGCCAGTTACGATGTCAGGTAGATCCGGGATGGACATGGTGCCGCGGGAATGCGAGGTCAGGAGGGAAGACGAAGACTTCGTTTCACAGGATCCCCAGGGATACCTTCTAACAACGCTCCCTAGACCGAACAAAAACAAAAAAAAACACAACAAAAGCAAACGACACACCAAACTCAAAGGATCATAGTTTCTTCAGTGTTACTCCGCAATGCCTGTCGATAAGAGAATCATGCTTCACCCCTTTTTCCAATGCATTTTAACCTTTTATTACTTCATATAATCCTTTTAAGACTCTTGAGAGAGTTGGAATTTTAAGCAGAAAGTGGTTGACTGGATCGAGGTCACGCACACAAATCAAACAGGAAAATCATAACCCTAATTCTCTTGCATTCCAGTCATGGCAGTCATTTATAACAAATACGGTGTATGTAGAACTTGATCAAACGCGTTGCCTAGATGCTGTATTTGACGCTACACGGGTGGAGAAAATTCGGTAAACATGTGCTGTAAAGTAGAATTAGGTGCGATTGAACCTAGCTGAGAAAGCGGCCTCACACCAATTTCTCTGCCTTCCTTTGCAGACCAAGATTCAGACAGAAAGATCAACGTGGGTTTTCTTTCCTTTACAGTTGTCAGCGACTGCTGGATTTCTGTGCTCACGCCACTTAATGGAAGCCTGGAGGAAAACGGAGGGAGAACTGCATTAATGCTATGTGCGTGGTCTCAGCTTTGTTGTGTCAATGACTGATTCCCGATAGGGCGTCCTTTGGGCATCCTTGGGAGTATCTCAAGCCATCTCCGAGGAAACGAAAATCTGCTCAAGACTAAAAACCCTGAGATAGAGATTTCTCTATTAAGTATGAGAATGTAAGGGAAGATTTCCGCCAGGAGAGCTGTCTGCAGTAATACTCGGAGTAGCCAACGTTACTGCCTGCCAGTGTTTACGTGCATGTCACATTATGTCCTCACAATGGCTAATGCCATAGGTTCCAACATGGAGGGTCCAAGTTTCCACCTAGAATACATTTACAGGCTGGATGCAGTGACCCACATCTAATCCCGGAACTCTGGGAGGCTGAGGCAGGCAGATGGCTTGAGCTCAGGAGTTTGAGATCAGCCTGGGCCACATGCCAAAGCCCCATCTCTACCAAAGATACAAAAACTTAGCCAGGTGCGGTGATGGGCGCCTGTGGTCCCAGCTACTTGGGAGGCTGAGGTGGATCACTGGCACCTGAGAGGTCAAGGCTGCAGTGAGCCATGATCATGCCACTGCACTCCAGCCTGAGTGACAGAACGAGACCCTATCTCAAAAAAAAAAAAAAAAAAAAAATTAGAAAAAGGTGACATAGCTGGAGAGCAGACACCACAGCCCATACTCACATTCATTTCTCCAAATCAAAGAGGGGGATTCAGTCACTTAATTTGTGCCCTCTTTGTATGTGAGTAACCCAATTAGCATGTAGGCACAAATACCTTTGTAACCTGAATTATGGTCATTTCTGCAGTTTACTTTTTTGGAGCATCTATAATACTGAAGAAAAAATATCCCTGGCATCCTGGAGCTCATGTTCTAGTGGAAGGAATTAGATAATGGAATGAATACATTATACATTTGAAGGTGAGAAGAGCCCTGGGGGGAAAAATCAGGGAATAAGCCATTTGGACAATTTGTAATGTTTATGGGGTTTTCTATGCATCTGAAAGTTTGACTCAATATCCACTTATTTATGAAAAAATTATCATTTGGAGATAACAAGGGAAAAATAACTCAGCAGGGTCTCAGCATATTGAGTCTACGATCTCATTCAATCTTTAAGAGTTCTGAGATAATTATCCCCATTTTCCATTTGAGAAAAGCTGGACATGGGTGGGAAATGAGTTTCCCTGCCCGTATTTTATCAATGGGTAACCAGGATGCATATACTCAGTCTCTAATTGAATGCTCAGGAACCTGAATATGATATTCTTTCAAGAAAATAAGGCAAGCCGGGTGCTGTGGCTCATGCCTGGAATCCCAGCACTTGGGGAGGCTGAGGGGGGTGGATCACGAGGTCAGGAGTTGGAGACCAGCCTGGACAACATGGCAAAACCCCACCTCTATTAAAAATACAAAAATTAGCCAGGTGTGGTGGCTCATGTCTGTAGTTCGAGCTACTTGGGAGGCTGAAGCAGGAGAATCACTTGAACCTGGGAGGTGGAGGTTGCAGCCTGGGTGACAGAGTGAGACTCTGCCTCAAAAATAAAATAAAATAAATAAAATAAAATAAAATAGGGCCGGGTGTGGTGGCTTAAGCCTGTAATCCCAGCACTTTGGGAGGCAGAGGTGGGTGGAACACGAGGTCAAGAGATCGAGACCATCCTGGTTAACATGGTGAAACCCCGTCTCTACTAAAAATACAAAAAATTAGCTGGGCATGGTGGCGCGTGTCTGTCATCCCAGCTACTCAGGAGGCTGAGGCAGGAGAATTGCCTGAACCCGGGAGGCGGAGGTTGCGGTGAGCTGCGATCGCGCCATCGCACTCCAGCCTGGGTAACAAGGGCGAAACTCCGTCTCAAAATAAAATAAAATAAAATAAATAAGGCAAGTCGAAACGAATGCTAGATATCACCAGACGTGTCTACATATGTGGAAAGTGTGAGCGGAAACTGTGGCAGGCAGCTTCTAAATGGCCTTCCAACAATCCTCACCTCGTGCCAGTCACACCCTTGTATCATCTTCCCTTCCAGTGCAGGGAGGACCTGTGATTTGCTTTGAGACAGTCTCACTCCGTCGTCCAGGCCGGAGTACAGTGGTGCAATCTTGGCTCACTGCAAACTCTGCCTCCCGGGTTCAAGCAATTCTCCTGCCTCAGCCTCCCAAAGTGCTGGGATTACAGTCATGACTCATAGTACCTGGCCAAATTTGCTTCTAACTAATAGGCAAAGATGATGAGTTGTCACCTTTTTGGTAAGCCCACATAGAATTGTTACTTCTGGGCCAGAAGTAACAATTTTTTTTTCTTAAAAAAAAAAAATTGTTATTTCTGCCTTGCGAACAAACTCACTCTATTGCCTTGCAGAACTTGACAGAGTTACCATCGGAGCGTTGCAGAGCGAGCCTTTTCAGTGCATCGTTGCTGGTAACTGAGGGTCTCTTCCAGCCGTCAGCTGTCAACGTACTAAGACTCTTAGCCCGACAGCCCTGCAGGAACTGAGTTCTGCCAACGACCACATGATCTGAGAAGCAGACCGATTTTTCTTTCCCTGATGAACCTTCAGATTTGACCCTAGCCTTGGATGACATCTTGGGCGCAGCCTCATCAGAGATCCTGAGGACGACCGAAGCCGGGATTGGAGCCCTGACGCTCACAGAGACTGTGAGGTGATGTGTCATTTCATCCCCAGGTTGGTGGGAACATACATGGACCAGTCAGCTAACACAGAAAGGGAGAGAGCCTTTGCTTTATGAGAAGAATTGAATGGATTTGGAAACATGAAACAGCAGAGTGAGAACTGCCCATTTTTCTTCTCTGGGAATGAGGGGCCCATCCAAATGGAGGAAAGAAAATATTCAAACATAGAACCCTTTATGCCATGGCAAGTATAACATCAATTGTCACCTTTTACTCACCACTGAGTACACACTCCGCTTTAAGAACTAGGCATACATTTTCCATCTCCCAAGAGGAAACACTTTTTTTTCATCATCTCATAGGTCCTAGACCAGGCGTCCCCAAACTTTTTACACAGGGGGCCAGTTCACTGTCCCTCAGACCGTTGGAGGGTCGCCACATACTGTGCTCCTCTCACTGATCACCAATGAAAGAGGTGCCCCTTCCTGAAGTGCGGGGGGGGGGGGGGCGGATAAATGGCCTCGGGGGCCGCATGCGGCCCACGGGCCGTACTTTGGGGACGCCTGTCCTAGACCATCTCAACACAGAACTTTTCCCATCACCAAAGAAAATAAGCAACTTACCCAACTATCTCTAGTGTACAATTTGGGTGCATCAGGCTCTCCAGAAGTTTTACAATTCCTTCGTCGCTGAAGCTATTTCGAAGCACGTTGAGTCTTTTTAGTGTCGTGTTGGTGGTAAAAACAGAGGCAAGAGCATCACAGCAGGCACTGGTTAACATGCAGTCTTCTAGCCTATAACAAAGACGCACAGGTGAGGAAAGATGGCAGATGAGACGGGTGAGAAGTGGATTCCACTAGATCCCTCCCTTACAAGTTTTGGGCTAAAGAACTTAGTATGCAGTAGAGCCCTCTTTCCCAGATGGACCTGGTAAAAACCCATCTCTACCAAAAACGCAAAAGTTAGCCGGGCGTGGTGGCGCATGCCTGTAGTCCCAGCTACTCGGGAAGCTGAGGCAGGAGAACTGCTTGAACCCTGGAGATGGAGTTTGCAGTGAGCCAAGATTGTGCCACTGCGCTCCAGCCTGGGCGACAGAGTGAGACTGTCTCAAAAAAAGTGAAGCAAATCACAGGTCTTGCCTACACTCAAGGAGATACACAGGAGTGGGATTGGCACAGTCACACTGTTGAAAGCCATTGAGAAGCTGCCTACCACAGTTTCCATTCATACTGCCCACATATGTAGACACGGGTGGTGATATCTAGCATTCCGTTTCTGCCTACCTTACTTTCTTTTCTTTTTTCTTTTTTTTTTTGGAGACGGAGTTTCACTCTTGTTACCCAGGCTGGAGTGCAATGGCGCGATCTCGGCTCACCGCAACCTCCGCCTCCTGGGTTCAGGCAATTCTCCTGCCTCAGCCTCCTGAGTAGCTGGGATTACAGGCACGCGCCACCATGCCCAGCTAATGTTTTGTTTTTTTAGTAGAGATGGGGTTTCACCAGGTTGACCAGGATGGTCTCGATCTCTTGACCTCGTGATCCACCCGCCTCCGCCTCCCAAAGTGCTGGGATTACAGGCATGAGCCACCGCGCCCGGCCTCTACCTGCCTTATTTTCTTAAAGGAAAATCATATTCTGTTTCCTAACCATTCCGTCCGAGTTATTTCCAGATCCACTTCCTCTTGTGCTTTTCTTCAGCTTTTCCTCGCAGAAAACAGGGAGCTTTCTCCCCAGGCACCTACCCAATATTCACCAACTTGCAGGACGGCAGTTTCAAAGCATTGCATATCAGCCGCATCCCTGTATCTCCTATGTGGTTGCTCCCAAGCTCCAGGCTCTTCAGGTTTCTACTAGCAGCAATAACTACGGCAATAAATTCACAGATCTCGGTGGTAAGGAAACAGCCAAACAGCCTGTAAAAGAGGAACATGAGGTAGAGTCATGGCCACCTACCTCCAGGGATTTATACCACAAAGGGTTAAGCGTTCTTGGACCCGGCTTGTGATGTCTGTGAATCAGGGACTTGTTACAGAGCCAAGAGCAGCGTTAACATCCACAGGTCACTTACAACATACCAGGGCATTATTCAAAACCCCTAGTGCACCTTCAACTCACAATGATCACAAGGCTCTCATCCTGGTTTTACAAACGAGGAAACTGAGGCCAGAATGTTTTGAGCATTTTCGTCCCAGGAAGTCACATTTCCAACCTATGCCCTTTGTGATCCCGAGCTTGAATTCTGAAGAGTTATGTCAGGCAACCTCCTCTGACATTCGTATTTCTACCTTTCAGTTCTCCTGTCAAAATCCAACACTGAGAAGAGCTAAATACGTCTTCATAAAGAGAATTTTACCAAACGGTCCTTCCTCTCAAAGCAAGCAAAGTACTTACGACTGTCCCTCTCCCTTGTGACCTGCCAGCCATACTCCCTCATGGTCCACGCCTACAATCCTACTTCACTGCCTCACCACACTGGCCCTCAGGCTGGTTCTTGAGCATAGCTGGCCGTTTCTACGTCAACAGCTCTGCACCAACTCTTCGTTCTGCTTGGACGCCCCACTCTAGCGATCTGTATGACTCCGTCCACACCCTTCTCCAAGTCTCTGCTCAAATGTCCCCTTGTCAGTGAGGTGACAGTGACCTTGCTTAGATACGGCCACATCCCACCAGGAGCACTCCCGATTATGTACCCTGACTTAGTACTGAACACAAAGTTTCCACAACACTTTTTACTGCCTGATACAGGAGGTGACGGCCTTTTTCTATAAAGGGCCAGAAAATGGTTTAGGCTTCATGGGCCATGGAGCCTCTGTCTCAACGACTCAACTTTGCCATTGCAGCACAAACGCATTCATGAAACACATGTAGATGAATGGCTATGTTCCAGTAAAATCTTTATAAAAACAGGTAGAGGGCCAGGTTTGGCCTTTGGGCAATATGGTTTGCTGACCTCCAGTCTAACAATATACAAATTACTTATGTCTTATTTCCTAAAGCAATAGAGAATCCTATTTTTCATTTAGTAGTTACAAAGCTGGGTGTGGCGGTACACGCCTGTAATCCTAGCTACACAGGAGGCTGAGACAGAAGGATCACGTGAGCCCAGGAATTTGAGACTGGTGTGGACAATATAGCGAAATCGTGTCTGTTAAAATAGGTAACATCCCGCATGCCCATGAAGCCGATAGGGCATGCGGGGTTTCACATGCCCTGTGGGAGCTCACAGAGGGGGTCTCTATCCAGTTTTGGGTCGGTAACAGACAAAAAGCACAGTTACACTTATGATAATGCTTGAAGGATGATAAGAGAATGGGTTTGGAGTCTGCAGCAAGCTTCAAACTATGCTCTGAGAGCCCAATCTAGGCAACTATGTTTTTGTAAACAACGTTTTATTGGAACATAGCCACACACATTTGTTGACATTTTTTCAAGGCCTCTCTTGAGCTATGGTAGAGTTAAATAGTTATGTCAGGGCCACTGTAAGCCACAAAGCCCAGAGTATTTACTGTCTAGCCCTTTAGAGAAAAAGCTTTCTGACCCCTATTCTACAGTAAGAGTGAACTTATCTCAACCTACTAAGCACAAACTAAGGGCTGTGGAAAAAAAAGGCAGGGTGGGTTATGATGTTATTTTCCCAAAGGCAGTTTTGTAGAAACTGCCATGCCAAAGGAAGCAAGATTCTAGAAGGAAAAGATATCCCCAGAATTTCCTATTTTACCTGCCCATGTGGACCAAATTACATGGTAACATGGATTTAGTTTATAACTACAAGGCAGAAACAAACTTAAAATCAGATACCATACGGCTGAGCACACGCTTACACGGTCTCATAAGCACCTTGGCTCAGGAGCTCACAGGCCACAGTCTTGCTATTTTATGAAGAGGAGATGCTTTTAGGGCATGCGTTTCTCCTATTTCTGAGCCAAAGACAGTTGAGGTAGAACATTTTCAAAAAAACAGTTCAAATTCAACAACTCCGAGGAATTTTTTAAACAATTTTTTTTTTAGGTAAGCGGGAACTCATCAGTTCTGAGAAAAATACAAGAAGTCTGATCACTCGGCATCACTGATGAGGGACACTTGATGTGTGCTGCGGTGGCTTGTGACGTATTTCCTCCTGGAGGTTCGTTCAGAGGCCACTTCATCACGCCTAGGTCAGGTGTCTTTGGCCGGTACCAGTGGCTTGGATGTGGCCGCCTCCCGCAATGCATCCCTTTCCCAACAAAAAGATGCCCCCATGATTGCCCACCCCAGAAGATGTTCTCTGCCTCAGAAACTGTAAGCCGGGCCAGGGCAGGATCTTTGGGTCCCTTCTCCTGCGGCATTTCCCACGCTATGTCCACCTGGGGGCAGGGACAGGGGCCCCGTCCAGGCACCCTTCTCTGTGTGATAAGGATCTGAGGGATTTTGTAAAACTCTGCTCTTTCTGAGCTAAAAGGTTTCGCTAAGGAATTTTACCGTGCTTTCATACCGCCTGGTTTTGGGAGACCACAGGTTCCCATACCCCTATCACCCACGATGCCACCATTAGAGTCTTATTTCTGTCGCCAACTCCACCACCCAAGCCCTCACACAGGCATCCAGGAGAACTGCGGGAAGACTTACTGCAGCTCCTCTAAACGACAGGAAAATACCAAGGGAAATAGCATAATTACTGCTCCATGGTTTTTTAAGTGATTCACACTCAGGTCTAGTTCTTTGAGACTTGGGCTGAGCAGAAGAGCTTTTCCAAGGAAGCTGCAGCAACTTGCAGTGAGACAGCAGAAGACTAACCTGCCACACACACAGAAAGAAGAGCAAATCAGTAACAGTGTGAGCGCCGGAGAGGGGACACGCGAGACCACCCACCCACGTCCGCGAGCACCTCTGCACCTTCTACTGCCATTGCCCGAGTTCTCCACCGATGACTTTATTTGGAAAAGGAGAATGAAAAGACCCCGAGTAGTACAGAGGGTGAGCTACAGAATGGATATTGCAGAACAGGGCGTGAGAAAAATCAAACTCCCACCAACAGAATCATCTCACGGAAGTAACTGCTGGAATTCGGTTCCCCCATTGCTTAATAAAGTCTATATGGTTAAACTGAATCCTAAGATTTTCAGTTTAAAAACTCATTTCAAAAGGGTTGCTTTGTTATTTGTAAGTGAATAAAGGAACTGTTGAAATTTTTCCTTTTTTTTTTCTGATAGGGGATTTCGCTCGTTGCCCAGGCTGGAGTGCAGTGGCGGGATCTCTGCTCACTGCAACCTCCGCCTCCCGGGTTCGAGCGATCCTCCTGCTTCAGCCTCCCGAGCAGCTGGGATTACAGGCATGTGCCACCACACCCGGCTAATTTTTCTATTTTTTGTAGAGACAGGGTTTCACCGTGTTGGCCAGGCTGGTGCCAAACTCCTGACCTCAGGTGATCTGCCCGCCTCGGCTTCCCCAAATATTGGGATTACAGGCGTGAGCCACTGTGCCCGGAAGCAGATTTTTTAAACTAAGAAACAGACGGCACACCAGACACTCTTTTATCAGCCAATTTTGCGGCATCCCGTTTAGCCTGTCCACGTTTAGCCTCTTGCCAATATTTGGAAGTTTACTCAATCCGAATCTGGATTTCCAGTCTCTCTTTTTTTCCCCACTATTTATTTTTAAATAATTTTTTAAATAACAGAGATGGGGTCTCACTGTGTTGCCCAGGCTGGTCTCGAACTCTTGGGTTCAAGTGATCTGCCTGCCTTGGCTTACCAAAGTGCCAGAATTACAGGCCTGAGCCGCTGCACCAACCAAATCTCTATTTTTTTTTTTTACCCTGTTTTCTATTTGCCCCAAGAATACTGCACTGGCAGTGAGCTGCACTTTTTTACTTGACAGGTTAAAAAGTTGGAAATAAAAATGTGGCATATATACACCATGGAATACTATGCAGCCATCAAAAACGATGCATTCGTGTCCTTTGTAGGGACGTGGATGAACCTGGAAACCATCATTCTCAGCAAACTGACACAAGAGCAGAAAATCAAACACCGCATGTTCTCACTCATAGGCGGGTGTTGAACAATGAGAACGCATGGACACAGGGAGGGGAGCATCACACATGGGGTCTGTTGGGGGGAAAAGGGGGAGGGACAGGAGAGTGGGGAGTTGGGGAGAGATGGCATGGGGAGAAATGCCAGATATAGGTGAAGGGGAGGAAGGTAGCAAATCACACTGCCACGTGTGCACCTATGCAACAATCCTGCATGTTCTTCACATGTACCCCAAAACCTAAAATGCAATTAAAAAAATAGTTTAAAAAAAAAGTTGGAAATAAGCTGGGCTCAGTAGCTCATGCCTGTAATAACAGCACTTTGGGAGGGGGAGGCAGGAGGATCACCTGAGGTCAGGAGTTCAAGACCAGCCTAGTTAATATGGTGAACCCCCATCTCTGTTAAAAATACAAAAATTGGCCAGGTGTGGTGGTGTGTGCCTGAAATCCCAGGTACTCAGGGAAGGCCGAGGCAGGAGAACGGCTTGAACCCAGGAGGCGGAGGTTGCAGTGAGCCAAGATCATGCCATTGCACTCTAGCCTGGGTGACAAAGGGAGACTCCGTCTCAAAGAAAAGTTAGAAATAACCAATTTATTGATTGCAAACACTGAATCTTGGCTCAGGTATGGGAAAAGGATAAAGTAGACCAGGGCTCATCACAGACCAAACCTGGACCCTGCCTGCTTTTGCATAGCTGCAAGCTTAGAATGGTTTTTGTGCTTTAAAATTATTGCAAGAGGTCTATGTAATGACGTTAATTTGGCTTTGGCAAGTGAAACGGGGCGTGCTTTCCTCTGTATGCTAACGCGTGCTTGTGATGTTAAATTATACGCATGAGTAAAAGCGAAGACTAAGACGCTAGAGAAGCTCCCTGTCCTCGTAGAAACCTCATTTGCTATTTTCCAGCTGTGGGATTTGGTCACGACCATAAATGTGGCCTTTTACAGTCATTTTCCTCAAACTGCTGTGACTTCTCTCACTGTTCTTAGGCTTAGAAATTGCTTGCCTACTTAAGTCACCGAAACAAACATTTTTTTGCTTAGTATATCTGGATTATTTTAAATACAGGTGTGAACTATGAAAAACTCCATGCCAGGGCCGGGCGTGGTGGCTCACGCCTGTAATCCCAGCACTTTGGGAGGCAGAGGCAGGCGGATCACCTGAGGCTGGGAGACCGGCCTGACCAATATGGAGAAACCTTGTCTCTACTAAAAATACGAAATTGGGCCGGGCGTGGTGGCTCACGCCTGTAATCCCAGCACTTTGGGAGGCCGAGGCGGGTGGATCACGAGGTCAAGAGATCGAGACCATCCTGGTCAACATGGTGAAACCCCGTCTCTACTGAAAATACTAAAAATTAGCTGGGCTTGGTGGCGCGTGCCTGTAATCCCAGCTACTCAGGAGGCTGAGGCAGGAGAATTGCCTGAACCCAGGAGGCGGAGGTTGCGGTGAGCCGAGATCGCGCCATTGCACTCCAGCCTGGGTAACAAGAGTGAAACTCCGTCTCAAAAAAAAAAAAAAAAAAAAAAAAGAAAAGAAAAACTCCATGCCAACAATCTAAGGTGATAAAAATGTTCTAGAAATTATATGGTAATGGCTATACTACTCTACACATTAAAAAACATTGAAGGTGTACCTTAAGTAGATTAGTTTTCTGATATGTAAATTATACCTGAAACCAGTTTAAAAAATCCAGCAGGAAACAACTTGTAGATATGAGATGAAAAAAATACCTATTTGGAGTCTATTTATTGAACCAATGGTCTGTCCCTTTCTTCGTGATACCTTGTTTTACAACAAAACTGTCTCACGTTGACAGTCACTTATGGGATTCATCTGGATTCCTAGAATAAATGCAATATTGTGCCATATGAAGAGAGGAGTTCAAGGTGTTACCCTGCAAACAAACAGGTGTTTTTATAGAACATATATAAAGAAGCCGGGTATGGTAGCTCACGCCTGTAATCCCAGTGCTTTGGGAGGCCGAGTCGGGTGGATCGCTTGAGGCTGGGAGTTCGAGACCAGCCTGACCAACATGTAGAAACCCTGTCTCCACTAAAAAAACATAATTAGCTGGGTTTGGTGGCACATGCCTGTAATCCCAGATACTCGGGAGGCTGAGGCAGGAGAATGGCTTGAACCCAGGAGGCGGAGTTTGCAGTGAGCTGAGATCGTGCCATTACATCCCAGCCTGGGTGACAAGCGCAAACTCCATCTCAAAAAAAAAAAAAGAGAGATAAAGAACATAGTATCAGTTTGTATTGCTCTGGAATCTAGCGAGTCCTCAAACAGGGGCAAAAGGGGTTAAAAAAATAGGCGAGGGAGAACAAAACAAAATCAGAACAAGAAAAGACGGGCTACTGCATTCTTCCATCTTCGGAAGTTGGAATTGCAGACGGGGGTGGGGGGGCTGTGTCCTCACTCCGTTTTGGTTCCTGACCATGTTTTACACATCTCCACCCTTGGGTTTGTACCTTTATGCCCCACGTTGGCCACATTTTGTGCCATCTTCCATTGTGTTTGCGACACCCCAACCTCCTGAAAGTTGGCCTTTCTAGCAACTTAGGGCAGGGAAGATCTTCCATTCGAGTGACCCACAGGAGGTATAGACACAGGAAAAGCCCATCCTCTACCTTCTTGAAAGGAGACTAAGGGAAAAAAAAAATCCCATTTCAAGGCCGTCTAGCACCAAACCTTTCCTCTGCATTCCTCGTGTTCTCAGTCCATCTCGCCCTGCACGACACCTAGCTGATGTGCTCACTGTAAGAATAATGTATGTTCCCTGCTCTTAGAAAGTCAGTTGCTATGGCCTAGGTGCTGTGTTTGGAATGTTGTGACCACCATTTTTTTTTTTTTTTTTTTTTTTGAGATGGAGTTTCACTCTGCCACCAGGCTGCAGTGCAAGGGCACAATCTCCGTTCACTGCAACCTCCAATTCCCTGGTTCAAGGGATTCTCCTGCCTCAGCCTCCCGAGTAGCTGGGACTACGGGCACATGCTACCACAGCCAGTCAAGTTTTGTATTTTTAGTAGAGACGGAGTTTCACCGTGTTGGCCAGGATAGTCTCAATCTCCCAACCTCGTGATCGTCCACCTCGGCCTCTCAAAGTGCTGGGATTACAGGCATGAGCCACGGTGCCCAGCCATGACCACCATTTTTAACTCTCTTTCCGGAGCTGTAAGTTTGGTACTGTTGTGACCCCACTGTCCAGATTGAGAAATACAAGCGGGGAAAAAAAAAATCCAGATACATTTTTGCCAACGTTTCGCCACTCAGTTGTCAACCCGGAGTATGAACACTGACCTACTGAACTCCAGAGCCCGCCTTCCCACGGCTTGGCTTTGCTGCCCCTTTTCCCACCTCCATTCTCTGATCACGTGCTTAGACCTTCCAGCCAGTCTGAGCTTCTACGTGGTGCGCCCGTCTAAGCCGACTCACACCAGCGAATGCAGCATACAGTCGGGGTGCACCAGGGCTTCGCACAGTGTGTTCACCCCGTCGTTGTGCAGCGGGTTGTTGGATAGGGTCAGTTTTCTCAGGTTGCAGCTGCTGGTGATGAGCAAGGCGATTTCTCTGCAGTCACAGGCTCGCAAGTCGCACTTCATCAGGCTGCAAGAGGAATTCGGAGATGAAAAGAGGCTTCCCGCTTAGGCCATCACCTCTTTTAAATAAGAAAAAAAAAAAAATCAGACTCAACCAAGTGAGATATCTACTTAAAAAGAAAATGAATAGATCTCTCTACTTTTTATTTTTTGAGACAGAGTTTCGCTCCTGTTGCCCAGGCTGGAGTGCAGTGGTGCAATCTTGGCTCACTGCAACCTTCTGCCTCCCGGGTTCAAGTGATTCTCGTGCCTTAGCCTCCCAAGTAGCTGAGATTACAGACACGTGTCACCACGCTCACCTACATTTTGTATTTTTAGCAGAGATGGGATTTCTCCGTGTTGGTCAGGCTGGTCTCGAACTCCCGACCTCAGATGATCCGCCCGCCTCAGCCTCCCAAAGTGCTGGGATTACAGGCATGAGCCACAGCGCCCAGCCAGATCCCTTCACTTCTAACCTTTCTTTCCCTACACCACCTCTCGGAGTTCTAATCTGGTCAAGGTTATAGATTCAAGAAAGGCTGTGGGAAGGCAGTTTCTTCCCCTTCTGCGTTCATCTCCACGTGCCTTCCAGGGTGACGGTTCCGAACAGTAAGTCAGGTATCAAGCCGCCCGTCTGATCAGGGGATATGGGTACGATCACATTGAGAAACCTGATAACGACCCTTAACTTACCATCATCACATTTACAAGGACTTCTGATGTTTTCTTTCTGCATAGCCTCAGGTTATGGGAGGCTGAGATGGGTGAGCCATTTGAGCTCAAACGTTCAAGACTAGCTTGGTCAACATGGTGAAACCCTGTCTCTACTGAAAACACAAAAATTAGCCATACATGGTGGCGGGCACCTGTAATCCCAGCTACTCAGGAGCTGAGGCAGGAGAATCACTTGAACCCAAGAGGTGGAAGTGGCGGTGAGCCGAGACTGCACCACTGTACTCTAGCCCGAACAAAAAGAGTGAACACAAAAACAATAACAAAACAAAACAAAAACCAGAAAGTGAGGGATGAGGGAGGTCAAGGAGTAGAAAGCTGCTGCTCAAATGGCTAAAGGACCCAGGAGGATTAAAGGGTGGGTAAATTTGCTTACAAGACAAAGTAGCTTGAGAATGCAGGGGGTGCCACTAGAGCATGAGGTACCTGAAGCTGAGAGCACAAGTGAAACGCACTTTTTGGAGATGAGGTGTAGAAAGTGGCATTATCCAATATGGAGTCACTAGCAAAAAGAGCTACTGAGCACTTAAAGCGTGGCTAGTGTGTCTGCAGGAGTGGGTTGTTCGTTTTACTACATTTACACTGGAATTTATTTATGTATTCATTTTTGGAGGTGGAGTTTTGCTCTTCTCGCCAGGCTGGAACGCAGTGGCATGATCTCAGCTCAGGGCAACCTCCATCTCCCAGGTTCAACTGATTCTCTTGCCTCAGCCTTCTGAGTAGCTGGGATTACAAGCACCCGACACCATGCCTGGCCAATTTTTGTATTTTTAGTAGAGGCAGGGTTTCAACATGTTGGCCAGGCTGGTCTCAAACGCCTGACCTCAAGTGATCCACCCCTTAGCCTCCCGAAGTACTGGGATTACAGGCGTGAGCCACCAGGCCTGGTTAGTTTAAATTTAAAGGTTGATTTCAAATTATTGGAAGATTTAAGTATGTTTCTGACCCAGGCACGTGAATTAGTTCTCTCAATTGCAAATTCTATGCAGCCAATATGGAGGTCAACTATTTCGGAGTCAAATGTGCCAGAATGGCGACCTTCTCTGTGAAATACTGGGTTCTAAAGCCTCCACACAACAAAGGAACATAAAAATCACACCAGTAGCTTTTTGTACTAATTACGTATGGATCTAATTTGATATGCTGGGTTAAGATATTGTTAAAGTTAGTTACACTTACTTCCTTTTGCTTTTTAATGTGGCTACTGGAAAATTTCAGTTTGTGGCTTGAATAATCTCCATTGGACAGTGTTTTAGGGTTTCACAAGTCATCTGTACTTCAAGAATGACCAGAGGAATTAGATCATTAGAGAAATGTTAATCAAGGGAGAAGCCATTTTATATAAAACATCAGTGTAGAAATTGAAATCAAAAGGCAGGAATCATGTTGGTGAGGAAGAAATAAACCACGTGCTAAAAATCTCTGAAGAATGAGTGGCATCAAAGGTAGGTAGCAGGTCGTGTTATCCAAAGGGCACCCCTACACACCAACACCAGCCATCTCCCCCATACGCGGTGAGCTCTCAGCCGAGCAGTGACTCACCTCAGATGAGTTATTTGGCATGCGGGCTCAGTCAGGATCTCACGCAGAAGTGAAAACGTGTTTAGGGAAATGGACACACAATTGAGGCTCAGGCAGGTCAGACTCCGGTTAAAAGCCACAGCGCTGAGTAAGTCCTCAAAACCAGTGCCCGTCGAGACATAGGACAATCTGCAGAAGACGAGGTAGTAGGAAGGGGTCAGTAAAGGTCTGAACATCTCCACAATTTCTCCTGCCTGCCTTACTTCATTCTAGAATAAAGATTCTTGGTGTGGATTACGTCCTCACACATTGCTCTCCATCTTACATTTCTAGTCAGGTCCAAAGACTATTGCTAATTCCAAGGTCAGCCTGTTGACCATGAAGTAATCCCTGGGTCTTTATTGTGTGTTCGCCTTACTGATTTTCGTAAGCAGGACTCACGAGTGGGATACAATGAAAATGTACATCCACATGCGTAAATTTAATCATGCTTTTCTATACTGAGAGCAAAAGCCGTAATACGCTGATGGCTGGTACAGCCACAGGAACAAGCACATGTAAATCATTCCGTTTCAGCAGTCCTAGCCAGAGCAACCAGGCAAGAGAAAGGAAGAAATGGCATCCAAATAGGAAGAGCAGAAGTAAAACTACCCCGTTGGCAGATGACGTGATTCCATATCTAGAAAACCCATTAGTCTTGGTCCCAAAGCTTCTTCAGGTGATAAACTACAGAAGTGTCAGGATCCAAAAAGAGAAAAATAAAATCAATGCACAAAAAACACTAGCATTTCAACACAGTAACGACAGTCAAGCTGAGGGCCAAATGAGGAATGTAATCCCATCCACAATTGCCTCACAAAGAATACCGAGGAATACAGCTAACCAGAGAGGTAGAAGATCTCAAAAGAAGAATTACAAAACACTGCTCAAGGAGATCAGAGGACACAAACAAATGGAAAAAAAAATTCCATGCTTATGGATGGAAGAATCAGTATTTTTCAAATGGCCATATTACCCAAAGAAATGTACAGATTTAACCCTATTCCTATCAAATTACCAATGGCATTCTTCACAGAACTAGAAAAAAAAAACTATTTTAAAGTTCACATAGAGCCAAAAGAGAGCCCCAATAGCCAAGGCAATCCTAAGCAAAAAGAACAAAGCTGGAGGCATCACACCACTCAACTTCCAACGATACATAGGCTGTGGTATCCGAAACAGCATGGTACCGGTACACAAACACAGAGACCAGTGGAACAGAATACAGATCCCAGAAGTGAGGGCACACAACGGCAACCATCTGATCTGCAGCAAAGCTGACAAAAATCAGCAATGGAGAAAGGGCTCCCTTTTCAATACATGGCATTGGGATAACCGACTAGTCACATACAGAAGACAAACAACGCCTTCTTCACACCACATACAAAAAACAACTCACATCCTCAGAAGCACCGTCGATCTTCATCTGGAAAACACCAAGAAAGAGCCTCCTCTGAGCTTTCAGATTCTGCCCTTGCTCCCTGATTGGCCATTTTTAAACACAGTATCCAGAATGAGTTTCTTAAAATGCAAGCTATAAATTATGGCATCTCTGCCCCAAACCCCTCAAAACTCCTCACCTCACTCCAGAAAACCCAGTCCCGACGCTGGCTTACAACACCACGATCTTGCCATACACACCTCTGAGCCATTTCCCTGACACCTCTCACACTGGTCTAACCACGTAGGCCTCTGAACACAAAGCCTTTGTTTCACGCGTCTCTCCCATCCCCGGGAACCACCAGCAGTTGTTTCTTTGATTTCTTCTCTCACCTCATTCAAGTCTTTGTTCAAATCCCACTTTCTCTGTGGAACTTATTACCACAGCCTGTACCCTTCCACACCCCCAAATACCCACTCAGGCACCTGTCCCTGCCATTCTTTTCCCCATAGCACTCTTACCCTAAAATACTTTTGAATGCACGCACTTCTTATGCTTTCCTATACTCTGTCTCATCAGATAGCCAAGCAAGGACATTTGTGTTTTTTCCCCTTGGATATATCCCAAGTGCTTAGACTAACATTTCCAAGTAAGCATTCTTCTTGAACGAAAATAAAGCTAACTCCTGGGCTTCCAGAATCCTAAGAACATCATATATGTTGGTGTGTGCTGAATAATTTAGTGACAGTCCCTGTCGAGCTACCGTAAACTCAGATACTCAGATAAATACTGTTTGAGCAAGTGCAGCTGCTTTTCACCTGATTCTAATGCCTCCCTAGGACAGAAACTGCCAGACTCCTACACGGACCCATTTCGGCTTTCTTCCTTAAGATAACTCCAATTGTTACTGTTTCTTCCTGATTGCAAGAGACTATTTTCCCAGTCCCCCTTGGCAGTTATATGAAGCTGTGTGAGGACAAGATAAACAGGCCAATGAGATGCAAGCAGAAGTGATACAAGAAAGAGCTCTGGAAAAGCTCCCTCAAGGAAGCTCCTGAAGCTTAGAGATAAACCTTTCCTTCTTCCTTCTGTTGCTTCCTGCCTTGAAGGCAGCCATGTTGGCTGGGACCCCAGCGTCATCGTGGCCCAAGGTCATCTTTATCACAGATACACTAAAGATGGGAGAGAAGTACAGAAGGAGCCTCGGCCCTGATGAGCCTGACCTGAAAGTGGGTTTTGTATATTGTCTTCTCCCAGAGAAAGAAAGAGAGATCACTGTTCTGCCTGGGGGAACATCGAAGGCAGAGGTTGATATAGTGCTTACCTAAGTGTACGAAGGCGACAGCTAGGATGCTCCAGGGCTCTAGACAGGATCCTTTCTGAAAGGTTATTAAGGTCGCTGTCAAAAAGATGCAGCTCCTGGAGATTCTCCATTGTGCAAGAAAGAGAGCAGATGTCTCTCCAGTAGACAAGGCTCTTCATTTGACTACATGGAAGAAAAATCGAGTTTTCCGATAGAACTGATTCAACTCCAGCAATTTAAGAAACATGTATATTAAAGTATCTTTTGAGAGTGCCTGTGATGTCACTCAGACTTAATACCAGGCAGCAAGAAATAAAGGAGGATCAACCATGAAAACTCAATACTCAGACCCACTGAAGTAGTTGGTGACTTCATATTTAGGTAAGATACAGCAGAGTGCAGGGCCCTTAGATGTGAGCTTAAATATTTTAAAGCGTCCTATTAAAAATACGTATCACAAGTTTTGTGCTACCATGAACACTCCTGTAATGTAACGGTGCAAGGTTTATTTCTCTTTAACCTATATAACAGATCTGAAGAAATTAGGTCAAACCACTGGTTCACAACGAGGCACGTCTGCCCTCCAGCAGACATTTGGCTATGTCTGAAGATTTTTGTTGCTGTCACAGCTGGAGAAAAGGAAATGCTACTGGCCAGAGGAGAGACCAGAGATTCTGGTAAGCCACTTACAACACGCAAGATAGACCCTCACCACAAAGAATGGGCTGGCCCAAGGGGTCAGCAGTGCTGAGGTTTAACTCAAACTTTCAGTTTAAACAGAAGCAGGGACACTGAAGTCACTGGTCTGATTAGACGCTAGGTTGGAAACCGAGTTCATTATGGTCCCGAGTTTGTCTTGTTCTGATCAACCAGCTAGAGCTGGGCAGGTCTCAGCAAAACAGGAAAGAGGATTTTTTTTTTTTTTTTTAAAGACTCACCTTGCAGTCGGCCTCACAGTTGGCTCTTGGCTTTCGAACATGCGTTGAACACTCAACTTAAGCGTCTGCATATGACGGCAGTGCTCCAGACAGTATAACGAGACCATCATATCCTGGTAGGTTTGAAGGTAAACGGTAACCTCTTGCAAAGGGTCCACAGTCATTTTAACAAATTCTTCCTCCCGATTCTCAAAGAGACAGTAAAACAAAGACACGTGGTTCGTCAGCTTTTCCGTGCCTTGGCCCAGACGTTTCATGTATGCCACTGAGTACTGCCTGAAGGCATCTACTCTCGGTAGCTGGAAGCCGAGGGATGTCTCGAGAATCTTTCTCCTGTTTTCATTTAGAAGGCCATAAACGAAAGCAAACACTTGACTAAAGTCACGGTATAGTTCTCTCTTCTCTTTATACTCTCTCGTGCCCGAGGGGAGCTGGCAGGGAGGTACTGACATCAGATACGCAACGGCCGCACAGAACTCCTGGAGAATCAAGTGGATGAATTTGCAACGGTTTTGATGAGTGCTGCTTGGCAAGAGAATATTCAAGGTCTGCAACACGGAGACGTCGGCCTCAGTGAGCCCGACGTAGCTGAAGTCTTCCCCACTGAAATTGAGGGTGTTTTTGAACAGTCCTCCCGCAGCCAGCGCACACAGACGTTTGAGGAGGCTTAGGTGATACTGATTGGCAGTAAGTCCAGCCTCTGATGTCAACGCACCAGCAAGGAAGTGGGCATGCACATCCGTGGGAGTCTGGCAGCAGCGTTTGAGATCCTGCTCCTCCTTGACCCTCAGCTGATTCAGGGCAGAGCACGTGATCCAGCATAAGATGGGGACTCCGCACAGAGTCGTAAGCATTTCGTTGTCGTGAACAAGTTGGAGGGCTGCCAAAGCCCTCTGGCGGTCACTAAAGAAAGAGTTAAAATACACCTCCCTCTTCCCATTACAGAGATGCAAGGTGGTGAAGATATCCGTGTTTTTCCAGAACATGTTTATGACATCGTCACTCGTGAACCTGGAGGAGATGAGGAACCAGCAACCCGGAGCCAATTTTCTCTTCAGCAAACTGACCAGGAGAACTGGAATTGGAACTCTCTGGGTGCTGTCACTACACAAAGCGTGTTCGTCGATGTTTAACTGGAATCTTACGTTGTCCAAGTCCTCGAGGATGAAAAGGACTTTCCCAGGATCAGACAGGATGTCTGCGATGGGAGCCTGGCGGTCGGGCCAGTCCTTGGCGATCAGCTCAGCCAAGCTGATGTTAGTCATCTGGTTTATTTCGTGAGCAGTGAGGGGAACAATGTACGAGATCGTGTCGCGCCACATGTCACCGCTGAGCCACCGTGTCACGGCCATTCTTAGAATCATCGTTTTGCCAGAAGCCTTCTCTCCCATCAGGAACACATTGAGATCCGTTGCTGAGTAACGGCTGGTAGGATCATAGGCTAAGTGAATTACGTAGAACACATCCGCTGCCACGTCAGAGAAAAATTTATAATGAAATTCTCCCAAAATGCGGTTTTCCCATTGCAGCGTGAATTTTCTCCTCATGAGAGCTTTGCATGCTTCGCTGTTGCCTGAGCCAGCATGTACAGGGCAGAAAGAAACGCGAAGTTAAAAGTTTAAGATGTAAAATCAGGCTGGGCGCGGTGGCTCAAGCCTGTAATCCCAGCACTTTGGGAGGCCGAGGCGGGTGGATCACGAGGTCAAGAGTTCGAGACCATCCTGGTCAACATGGTGAAACCCCGTCTCTACTAAAAATACAAAACATTAGCTGGGCATGGCGGCGCGTGCCCGTAATCCCAGCTACTCAGGAGGCTGAGGCAGGAGAATTGCCTGAACCCAGGAGGCGGAGGTTGCGGTGAGCCGAGATCGCGCCATTGCACTCCAGCCTGGGTAACAAGAGCAAAACTCCATCTCAAAAAAAAAAAAAAAAAAAAAAAAAAAAAAAAAAAAAAAAAGATGTAAAATCAGTTTTACCTTATTTTCATGTCTACAGAAAAAGTATGGTAGAAATTTTTACTTACTACTACTCATCACAAAGATATAGGTACAAGGATATTTACTATCGTATTGCTTTATTTGTTTTTGAAACAGTCTCACCCCGTTGCCCAGGCTGGAGTGCAGTGGTGCAGTCTTGGCTCACTGCAGCCTCCACCTCTCGGGTTCAAGCGATTCTCCTGCCTCAGTCTCCCGAGTAGCTAGGATTATAGGTATGCACCACCACGCCCAGCTAATTTTTTATATTTTTAGTAGAGACGGGGTTTCACCATGTTGGCCAGGCTGATCTCAAACTCCTGGCCTCAGGTGATCCACATGCCTTGGCCTCCCAATGTGCTGCGATTCCAGGCATGAGCCACTGCACCCAGCCCATGTTGCTTTAAAGGAAAAAGGTTGAATAAAACCTATTCACCCATACAATGGAACAGACGTCTATTTAAGCATTGCTCGTTATCCTTCAAGGGCATCCCTCTCATTTACTTGGCATCAGGGACATATTTCTTCCTTTTTGGGGTTCCATAGCATTTTACGTAGCCTTCAGTTAGAATGCTTAGTTTCACACCCAGCTTTTCCTTTGAGGGAATTCCTTGAGTTCAGGGATGGTTTCCTGGCATGAATTAACCTCGAAGCGGCTAACCTGTTACATCTTTGCCCATCAGTCATCAGGTGCACATTCATCTCTCCTTCTGTTTTCTGGTTTATGCATATCATTACTTAAATCCTGACCATTTAATGAACTACATAAGATAAATGAAATGATATATGGAATAAAGCTAAAATTTATTGTAGGGGTCTGTTAGAGGGGAATGGGGAGGGACAGTGGTGGGTAGGGAGTTGGGGAGGGATCACATGTGGAGAAATGCCAGATATAGGTGACAGGGAGATGGAGGCAGCAAACCACACTGCCATGTATGTACCTATGCAACAATCCTGCATGATCTGCACATGTACCCCAGAACCTAATGTGCAATAAAATACACTGAAAAAATTTATTGTAGGCTGGGCGCGGTGGCTCAAGCCTGTAATCCCAGCACTTTGGGAGGCTGAGGTGGGTGGATCACAAGGTCAAGAGATCGAGACCATCCTGGTCAACATGGAGAAACCCCATCTCCACTAAAAATACAAAAAATTAGCTGGGCATGGTGGCGCTGTGCCTGTAATCCCAGCTACTCAGGAGGCTGAGGCAAGAGAATTGCCTGAACCCAGGAGGCGGAGGTTGCGGTGAGCCGAGATCGCAGCCATTGCACTCCAGCCTGGATAACAAGAGCGAAAACTCCATCTAAAAAAAAAAAAAATTATTGTACAGGGAGTTTTATTCCTTGAGAATAGACAAGGTGACACACTGCAAAAACAAAAACAAAACAAAAAATAGTAAGACATAAGTAGAAAGCTATCATAGAGGTATGATACAGAAATGAGCCTAAATAAGTGAATCCCCAGAGGGGAATTACTTCTTCTTTCATGAGCAGATACCTGAAAATGTTTTTATCCCTGGGGCAGGGGCAGGCAGAAGAGGGAGAACGCAGATGGGATAAATAAAAGCTAGCTAATGATTAACAGTAGGGCTGGCGTGCTGGACCTGGATTAACTGGAATGTGACACACCTGCCTGCCCCAGTGGAGATGAGCCTGACACACGCACGGGCCTGATCCCACCCTCAAGACTACATGGCTGCAAAGGCCCGATTTAACACATCTGAACAACCTGGCAGACACAGGGCATTCTCCTTACTGTTTTTATATGCGATGTTCAGCAAACAGTAAAAAATTCAGATTCAAAAAAGCAGAAAACTGTGATGATGATGATGAGTATGGTTCCTGATTATGAATTATGATTCATAATCAGGAAAAGAATCTTTGGAAGATGTCTATTTAGGGTGGGTTTTTTTTGGCCAATTTATTGATTAGGTTATCTATTTTCTTGTTACTGAGTTCCTTACATATTTTGGATATTAGCTCCATATAATACATAGTTTACCAATATATTTTCTCCTAATCCATGGGTCTCTTCACTCATCTCCTTTGCCATACAGAGACGTTCCAGTTTGAGATTTTTATATATATATATGTATACACACACACACATACACACATACACATATACACATACATGCACACACACACACACACATACAGACACACATATATACACACATACACATATACACATACATGCATGCACACACATACACATACACACACACATACAGACACACACATAGACACACATACACACACATATATACACACATACACACATACACATATACACATACGTGTACACATATACACACACATGCATACACACACACACACACATACACACACACGTAAGAGAATAAGTACGAGATAAGGCATTTGTTACCTTCATGTCAACATTGCACATTGGAGCATATCAAAACATCATACTGTCCCCTATAATTATGCAGAGCTATTTGTCAAAAGCAAAATTTAAAAAACGAAAGAGAAGCATATGTACATATGACCCAGCTTTTGCAATTAGAAAGAATTTTCTATGTTTCTTAATCTATTACGTATATATACCCAATATATTATGTATACAGAGTATACGAATCAGATGGACGCTCCCTAACTTAAAATACTCACTCTGCAAAACAAAGAATTCATTGGAATGGCTGATTGGCAGATGGCACACAGCAGAAGAAAGGATGAGGAAACAGCACTGGCCTTACAAACAGAGGAAACACAATCACAAAACCAATCAGGCCATCAGGGAACTGTGATACGACATCCAGGGGCGACTGCAAAATACATGTAATGACAGGTCCAAAAGGAGAGGGGATGAAAAGGTTTTCAGCATCACGAGCCAGAAATGCAGATGAAAATCACAGTGAGATCCTCACGTCACACCTGTTAGGATGGAAATTATCGGGACAACAAAAGGTAAGCGTGGCTGAAGAAGTGGGGAAAAGGGAAGCCCTGTGTATGGTTCGTGGGGCTGTCAATTACAGGAGTCATCATGGAAAATGACGCAGAAGTTCCTCAAACAATTTCAAATACAACTATCCTTTGACCCTGAAGCTCTTTCTTGAGAACACGTTGTGGTCAGAAAAGTCTGTCAAGGACCTTTGTATTTTCTATCAACTTAGTTTAAAACCTTGAGTTTATTCTTTAGTGCATTTCTTCCTTGTCACCGTTTATGATGAGTGAAACCACCACCACCACCACCACCACCAGGATACGTCTTTACTCTTCCCCCAAATCTCCTGATTTTCAAGTTCATAATGTGGATTTTCTACCGTTATTTCAGGCAACAACCCTGCTAAATGTTCCACTTGTTAAGGTTCCTACCTGCAAAAGTCCACTGAAAGTCAAAGGCATGTTGAAAACATATCAAAACGGTAGAGGATGGCCAGGTGCAGAGGCTCACAATAGCAAAGACCTGGAACCAACCCAAATGCCCATTGACGATAGACTGGACAAACATTAATTTTAAACATTAATTTTAAACATAGGAGGGTAAAGTTGGAGAATTCTCCTAGAAAACAGAACAAAAACATACACCATGGAATACTACGCAGCCATAAAAAATGGTGAGTTCATGTCTTTCGTGGCGACATGGATGAATCTGGAAACCATCATTCTCAGCAAACTGACACAAGAACAGAACACCAACCACTGCATGTTCTCACTCACAGGCAGATGTTGAAGAATGAGAACACACGGACACAGGAAAGGGAGCATCACACAATGCAGTCAGTTGGGTGGGGGTCTAGGGGAGGGACATTGGGGAGTGGGGGGATGGGGAGGGATAACATGGGGAGAAATATCAGATATAGGTGATGGGCGGAGGATAAAGGCAACAAACCACCTTGCCATGTGCGTACCTCTGCAACAATCCCGCGTGATCTGCACATGTACCCCAGAACCTAAAGTACAAAAAAAAGTGGGTACAGAAGAAACATACTTCATGATAAAAGCTGACTGACAGACCCACAGCTAGTATCATACCGAATGGTAAAAAGCTGAAAGCCTTTCTTCTAAGATTGAAAACATGACAAGGATAGCCGTCGTCACCACCGTTATTCAATGTAGTACTAGAAGTACTCGCTAGAAAAATCAGACGAGAGAAAGAAATAAAGGGCATCCAAATGGGAACAGGAGAAGCTGAGTTATCCTTGATTACAGGTGATATGATCTTGTATTTGGGCAAAATCGAAACATACCACACACACACACACACACACACACACACACACACACACACACCCTATGGAACTGATAAACATTCAGTAAAGTTTCAGGATATGTAGAATACACACAAATGCATGTGCGTGCATGTGCGCTCTCTCTCTCACTCTCTCTCTCTCTCTCTCTCTCTCTCTCTCTGCATTTCTCACACACACACCCTATGGAACTGATAAACATTCAGTAAAGTTTCAGGATATGTAGAATACACACAAATGCATGTGCGTGCATGCGCTCGCGCTCTCTCTCTCTCTCTCTCTCTCTCTCTCACTCTCTCTCCCTCTCTCTCTCTCTCTCTGCATTTCTATACACCAAAAGTGAACAACCTGGGAAAAAAAAAATCAAAGTAATCCCATTTACAATAGCTA